TCATCTAGGTTTACGGACGTACTCCGAACGAACACTAATGAATTTTGCTGGGATAGGGAAAACACTGCATTTATTTACTTCTAGTTCGAAGAAATCATGTAGGCAAAACCATAGTTTTTGAAAAGAGGGGGGTTAAAATAGATTTATCAACAAAGCAACGGTTAACATCTCCTCCAACTTGGCAGCCCCCGTTGGTATACAACCACCCTAATAACTCCCGAAGGAATTCAAGCAGGAGGCTTCTAACCAAAGGGTCTGCTCCTATGGGAAAATGTTCGAAAATATTTTATGCTTAAGTCTACGCCATTTGTATTTGCGGTGTTGAATTTACGTAGGAATTACTGAAATGAGAAGATCCTAAGTAATAGTCAGGCGGTGCTCAAGGCTTTTTATTATGTGTAGCCACATCAACCTTAAGTGCACTGAGAAACTTATCCCCTTGTTAAGTACAATGATATCTAGCTAACAATGCACAGTGGTTACAATTGGTTTCACTCAATTTGATTATTTTTTTAAATGAAAGCTAATTAAATTTGCTAGAGAATTTGAACTTATTTTTTCGTTTGTATTAAAATTTTGAGTGCAAAGTGCATAAAAAGTAGTAAAAAGTTTTGAAGAAAATCGATTCTCCTGTTCCAGTTAATAAATGTTACATAAAAATATCAAGTTGAAAACAATTGTAGGGTTCCCCCGAAATGAAAAAAAAATCAGAAATAAAATTTAAATGTTTAAAAAAATGTTCACCAAAATTAAAAAAAAATTTAGTTTCTAGAAAAATGTTGGCTATGCAGTTTATAGATCATAAAATTTTAGGGGTTGGCTTTCCTATAAGGGTGGTCTTTAAAGGGGCGGTAGGCGAAGGGGGAGTGGGCGTGGCACCTCCAACCACCCTTTTAGGAGAGGGCATGAACCGCGATTGACAAAAATGTTATCCCTTAGAAAAATTGCCAAAAATCACAATTTTCACTTGCGTTCCCAGTATTTTTGCGTCCCCAGTATTTTTCCTTTCTGTGTAGGCGGCCTCGGCCGCGCTTAGGATTATAATTGTTTTCAACTACACCTTTTCCAGTAGTATTTCAGAAAAATACAAATATATTTCAGAAAAGGCCAAATGAATTTCAGAAAAGGCCAAATGAATTTCAGAAAAACTCAAATGTATTTCAGAAAACCTCAAATGTATTTTAGAAAAGGTTAAATGTTTTTCAGAAAAAGCCAAATGAAATTCAGAAAAGTTGAATGATTTTCAGAAAACTGCAAGTGTATTTCAGAAAAGGGCAAATGTATTTCAGAAAAACACAAATGAATTTCAGAAAAAGGCAAATGTATTTCAGAAAAACAAAAATGTTTTTCAGAAAATATTTTTTTAATATTTTCAACTAGCAAAACTTTTGCAATCGCAAACCTCCGAGTGTATTTCTGCTTCATTTTTAGAGAAGGTCAAATGAGCACCACCGAATGGGTTCGGGGCCTTTTATGAAAGCATTCAAAAAATCATTGTTTTTAAAGTCTAAGATTGCATTTTTTTTTTAAATTCGTACCTAGGATAAGCTACTTTTGCGTAGTCACGCATAAATTTGCGGTAATATCCCGTCATACCCAGAAATTGTTTTATTTGTTGTTGTTGTCGTAGCGGCTACAACAACCCCGCCCAGATCGGCTGATATCTCAGTCGTTGTCGTCGAGTTCCACTAACGGCAGCCCCAAGAAGCGTGCAGCCTCTACGGAGTCGGTCCATAGGGACGACGCCGTTAGGGTTGTGGGGTTTTCCGGGCATGCGAAGAGATGTTTCGAGTCGTGAGGGGTCTCTCCGCATGCCGGACATTCGTTCGGCACATCCGCATTTAACCTACTCAAGTAGGAATTTAGCCTGCTGCAGTAGCCAGAGCGAAGTTGGGCTATTGTTGTCCTGGTCTCCCGAGGCAGATGGAGCTCCGTCGCGTCAATGTCCGGTGTTTGTGTGCCTAGAACGGCATTCACAGGTCTTGAGTCTACATAACTCGAGACTGCGTCCCTGTGAATGCCGTTCAGGCCCTGTCTGTGAGCTGACGGGTCCAGAGTTGCTTAATGAACCTCTGGACTTCGTCCGTCAGTTCATATAGATGCCTCCTGACGTGCCTCGGCGAGGGCTCCTCTGCAAGCAGCTGTCTATTTGGGTGGCTGTACTTTTTTGACAATAGCGGACGCGTGCGCAGAGAAGGAGAGCAGGCTGTCGAATGTTACTCCGAGAATTTTAGGATTCACCGTCGGAATTGGTGTGTCATCGACGTGAATTCCTAGCGGTAGCCTAACCTCCTTCGTCCAGGTTGTGAAAAGGGTCGCAGAGGATTTCGTAGGGGAGAGGGCTAGACACTTTGCAGTGAAGAAGCGAGAAAGTTCAGAGAGATATCCGTTTACTTTCGAACACAGGTCATCAATTCCATTCCCAGTCGCCATGATCGAGCAATCGTCGGCGTAAGAGACAATCGAGATTCCCTCTGGTGGTTGAGGGAGCTTTGAAATGTAAAAGTTAAACAGTAGTGGGGAAAGGACACCACCCTGTGGAACCCCCTGTTTTATTTTCCTAAGTTTGCTCGATTTGTCTCTAAACATTACCGACGAGTGTCGACCACTTAGATAATTTGCCGACCACCTTTTGAGCCTCTGTGGGAGAGAGGAAGCCTTTATATCTTTTAGTAGCGTGGAATGGTTGACAGTGTCAAAAGCCTTTGACAGGTCCATCGCTACTAGAATCGTTCTCTCACAGGGACGTTTACGGTTAAGGCCACGAGTTATCTGAGTGTTTATGGCGTTAAGTGCTGTTGTTGTACTGTGCACTTTACGGAAACCATGCTGATGCTTCGCTGGGGTCAAGTGGTTTGTGAAATACGGGAGTAGCAAGGCCTCGAGTGTCTTCGCTACCGGGGAAAGGAGTGTTATCGGACGATAAGAATCTCCTATGTTGGCAGGTTTCCCCGGTTTGAGCAGTGGAACCACTCTCCCCGCCTTCAAGATGTCTAGGAAGATGAGAGTTGCCCTGGACAAATTGAGGACCTCCGTTACGTACGCTACCCCCGCAGGACCCAAATTTTTCAGCATCAGCATGCATATTTCGTCGGGACCCATGGCTTTGGAGGCTTTCGCCTTCCCGATGGCCACCTGAACTTCACCGCAAGTAAAAGCAGGTTGTTGGCAGTTTGTGCAGCCTTCTGGTCACTCGGTTGACCTTACGTTGACCAAAGCTTACTCTCACCAGAGGTGAAGTTGCAGCTCTTCAGATGCTCTTCCCACTTCTTCCGCTTATGTACGTTTACTAGTTGCCGAATCTCCGCGTTGAGATCCCTGATACGGGGATCTCCGGGATCGGCCTGACGAAGGCTGTCACGCTCATCGGCTAGAACAGCCGCTTCAGCAGAGAAGTTTGGGCATGGGTCGGTGATGCATCCTGCCGGTACGAAGCGGGCTGCAGCAGCGGTGATAGCCCTGCGGAACTTTCGTTCACCAAGGTGGACGTCGGTTGGTGTGGGGAGGGCAGCGAAGGTGTTTTCAGTAAATTCCGCGAAGCCTTTCCAATCAGCTTTAGAAAAGTTGATATATGTTCGGTGCTCCGCGAAAGCAAAGTCGGTTGGTTTATCGATCGAGATGACTATGGGCAGGAGGTCTGATGCCAAAGTCAGCGTAGGTCGCCATGATATGCTGTTTATCAGAGCAGCGCTGACTATTGTTATGTCTGGCGAGCTGCAGCAGCTGCCCATAATCCTGGTGGGTGCGTCGTCGTTCATTGTGCAGAATGTCGAATCGTCTATCTGCTCAGCCAAGTCAGTTCCCCTACGATCGTTTGACAGGCTTGAGTGCCAAAGATCGTGGTGCGCATTAAAGTCGCCTACTACCATACGGTTTTAACCTGTGAGGAGCGCACCTCCCCGGGTGATATCCTGCCGGGCAGCAGGTGACAGGGGGTATATAAACGCTAAATATTTCGAGCTCAACATCGCCTGATCGGATAGCAGTGCCATGACATTCTAGGGTGGTATCCCTGCAGTCGATGCCTGCTTCAATAAGACGATACTGCACGATGTGGAGCGTAATGAACGCTAAGCCTCCACCATTATCCCGCTCGCGATCTCGACGGTGCACGTTGTACCCGGCACAATTCAACAGTGTTGAATTGCTGTGCAACTTCGTCTCTTGGACCGCAGCTATCAATATGCCATGCCTTCCCATGAAGACGGTTATCTCTTTATTTCTTTAATATTGGTTGGTGGTTTCATAATTTCAATACATCTTATTTTTGAGGGATCTGGTTTTATACCTTCTCTTGACACATGTCCTAAAAATTACGTGGCTAATTCGGCGAATTGGCATTTGTTAAATTGAATTTATAATTAGATGCGTATAAAGTATTAAATTTGTTTTTTTATAAAAACAATATGCTCACCGAAGCTTGAAGAAAATATTAGGATATCATCCAAGTAGACGACACAAATTTTGTTTGTATGTTCTCTTAAAACATAATTGATTTACCTCTGGAAGGTTGCAGGTGCTGTTTTGAGCCAAAAGGCATACGTGTAAATTCGTAATGACCATCTGCGGTTGAAAATGCCGTTTTGGCCCTATCATTAGGGTGCACC